CAGATAGTGCCGTACCGGCGCTGACAAATATAAATTCCAAATTCCAAATATACTGTTCTTCAAATACACCAATTTACAATTACATCTAATCAAAACAGCCAATTGAACGGGTGCTGGTTTTGTCGTGTGTATTTGGTATATGATGCCGAATGACCTGGATAGTGTGAAAACTTCATCCATTTCTCGTTCGGGTGTTAATTTAGAGTACGGCCCGGAAGATACTCTCAAAAGTTTTCTATTTGATAAGTACCTGAACCCTGAAAGTGCTGTTGACGATAACATATCCGAGATAAATTCGAATCTACATAACAACGCGCCGTCCCACCAGTTCGCGGACGAAAGGATAATTAAATCATCTGCGCGACCTGCAAACATTCAAGAGCCTAAACGTTTTTCTGTTATGGTAATTCAACTTTTTTGAAATTGTGGACGTGGTGTTTTTGACGGACAAGTCTGTCTATTAAAATCAAGTACTCACGAAACCTTGAGTAACGGCACAATTCAGCATAAATAACCGAATCCATTAACCTAAATGGTCATATTCTCTAAGTAACGAAACCGCTCTTACTGTTTCAAAAGATGTTTCAATCAATAGATATATCTCCCTGATTTTGGCTAACGGCTCGTAGGATATTTTATTTCGACCTTTCCATTACCTTACTGCAGAAGGACACGGAACCAAAGACAAAAAGGCCTTATCTTCGCAAAAATCAGGGCCTAGCCGCCTGGTGCAGCAGAATAAAAAGCTCCAGGCTCAAACTTCAGCAATATTCAACGAAAGTACGTGGGAATTCTGTTGATGAAGCAAAAACTGAAAAGGTCAGCACTAAAAGTGACGCTCTGAGGGACACCTGCGATGAACCAACGGTGAGACTCGTGTTTTTGCGACCCGCTTGCTTTCTTGAGAGGCTTTTGTTTTCTGACTGATTACCGAATATAAGGAAAGCATCTTCCGCTTTGTAGTTACATCTTGGGCAGCATACTTAGTAAGAAATAGCTCTACTTGCTTCTTACTAACTTGAGGAAAGTTACCGTATGTACACATACATACATATATAGGCAATTTTGACATTATTTTTGACGTACTCGTCTTTACATTCTGTTAATACCTTATACATTTTAGGCAGCGTTTATCACAAAATTGAAGAGAATGTGATATGCAGTATCAAGCACCATATCACGTTTGATGTCCGACTAGGTTCTTTCTATTTAAAATGTCAATGCACTGAAACTTACGGCTGTTGTCTTCAATACAGTAGATGTTTGCTCATGGAAGTTATAACTTCCATACTTATGATGCTATAATTATTTCTATCTGCTGCTATCGGTTCTCCGAAGACTTAGTAAACATTTAAATCATGTCTAATTTTTGGTCCCATTTTTATTTGCATGATTCTAATAGTCTCAATTTAAATCACATTAAATTTCATGTCAGGTGTTACCTTCGAGTAATTATCCCATTATTCACTATTACACACAGACTTTCGTCTACAACGACAAAATGCCACCGATTATCAGTTACTTTTCTTTACTGACAGCTCACAACCAAACCTTCCCAATCTGCATCCTCACTCTCATCAGCAAAGGCAAAGTTTCTGGAATCCGGCAACTTTACAAGACAGTACACTTATGAGTCTAAATGGTGTCCGACACCCGAGCACACACTATTTCCTACTTTCCTATCCACGGAAGAATCACACCAAAACCCAGCCTCTTCCGCTCCTTTGACGAGTCCTCC